TGCAGAGTCAGCCAAGAGTCAGATTTGACTCAATGGCATGTTAACAACAACAACATACTGAAAAGAAAGGCAACGCTTTCCTAATGTTTAAGACGCGCTCTAGAGGCAAGAAGCTGCACCGCAATCCCAAAGGCACGCAGTTCCAGTCCACTGGGTGCTCTGTGAGAGAAGGATGGGCAATCTCTCCTCCCGTGAGAGTAACGTGCTGGAGGGTCAGCTATGGGCCAGTTCTGACTCAGTGGTATAAAACAACATCTCAGAGAGCAGCTGTGTGTCATGGAGTGGAGTCATAGCTGACTCTCCAGTGGGTTTTCAGAGGCAATTAATCACGAGAGGAAGACTGTTCATTTTTCTCCCACAAAGCTGCTGGTGGATTCAAACCTCAAGCCTCTGGGTTGGCAGCATGACTTCTCATCTGAGTTCCCCTGAGACAATAGCAGGAACACAAAAAGAAATCTCAGTTACCCTGAGAATTATCTCTGTCCCCTCCCATTATTTTTTATGCCCCTTACTGGCTTTTACTTTTACACATTTATTATTAAACCATTCAAAAAGGTGTGGGTTAAATATCCAATCACCCTATCCCCTCTAATGCAGGGAAGCTGTATGTCAGAAAAGTCAAGGTTTCTAACTGCACATTTGATCATGGAACTTTCCCACTTAAAAGTCTCTAACTACTTGAGCAACTGTGGCGCTCACAAGGTCCTCACACACAGAGAAGCACAGCTTCTACGAGCACTGCTCTAATTTGCAGATGTAAAAGAACCCTGAGAGGCTTCCTAAACAGATACTGATCCGTGGAACCCAAGATTCTGATTTTGTAATCTGAACTATGAAGTTCAGTACTTGGGAAACATAGTTAACGGAGAACTCATACTCCTAACAAGTTCTCCAGTGATTATGCTACTTTTGACCCATCCTAGTGGCAAGAAGCTGCGCTGCTATCCCAAAGCATGAGGTTCGAATCCACCAGCTCCTCTGCAGGAGAAGGACTGGCCATCTCCTCGGTGTGATTTACTGCCTCTGAAAACCCAATGGACGGTTAGCAGTGGGTCAGTTCTGACTCAAAAGCACACAACAATAACACACATCCTCAATAGGGGCTCCAGTGACCTAGTGGTAAAGTGCTATGCTGCAATCCCGAAGGCACACAGTTCAAACCCACCAGCTGCTCCACTGGAGAAGGATGGGCGATCTCCTCCCTTACGTTTAAATCAATCACCTCTGAAAACTCGCCGGAGGGTCAGCTACGAGTCAATTCTGACTTGATGGCACACAACAAAAAAAACACCACTTTCAGCAGCACTGGCTTAAAAGACCTACTGGATATTTGCTCCGACGGGTGCAGATTCATCTCTAACCACACACTTTCCCTGAATCTAGACACACCACACAAAGCTACTTGGAGCTCCCCACCACATTTTGCCAGGATGTCCTTTTTTTTGTGGCAAATGTCATCATTATCTGTGAAGAACTCCCAACGGTCTCCTATGCTTAAAGAGCTAGCTGAAATCAGAGTACAGGCTCCCTAGCTAGTCTCTGCTCAAGTGCTCAGCAGAACGCCTGACACACAACCGATATAAACTTTAATGAATATCTGAGATAAAAACAATTCCAACAAGTCACTTCTGCTGTGGAAGACATTAAAACACGTTGACTGGGGAGCTCTGGTGGCCTAGTGGCAAGGAGCTGCAACTACCATCCCAGAGGCGCACGGTTCGAATCCACCAGATGCTCTGCCAGGGAAGGAGGGACAATCTCCTCCTGTACCAGTCAGATCTGATTTGATGGTACACTCACACAAAAATAATTAAAAAATTAAAAAAAAAAAACAAACACGTTGACTTAGAAATAAACAGCTATTTTCTAACAAAAAAGAGCTCTGAGAACACAGTGGTTAAACACTCAGCTGCTAACCGGGTGGTTGGTAGTTTGAAACCACCCTCTGGCTCTGCACAATCAAAGCCCTGACAGTCTGTTCATGTTAAGGTTCAGCTGCTGCCAAGAAAAACCCACAAAAAGCCACCTTTCTACTGGGTTTCTGAGACTAGAAATCCTTACAGGGGGAGACTGTCCCCCCTCAGTCCCATGGGACAGCTGATGGAGTCAAACTGCTACCCCTCTGATCAGACATGCCACATGTCACACACCACTTGCAAAGATTAGAGGTTAGGAAACCCTTAGAAACAGTACTACTCTGCCTTACAACGTGACAATGCAAGATCAATGTGATGGCGGCAGGCCTGGTTGTGGGTATCTAACACGGCCTGGAAGTGTCAACAGACACACTACACTAACAGTTGTAACAGACAAAGTCCTCCCAAATGGTCTGGTAATTATATTGTACAAATTTCAAAGAAGTGCCCCAAACTGGTTATACTTCTAAAATCCCCATCAAGGTATTAAGGATAGAGAGATTTTGTGAGGATGTCTTTAGAAAACACTGGGCTGTGATCATCTCTGAATAGGGCTGAAGGCAGGGAGTTTTCCTTTCCACTGCTAGTCTGGAGGACCTCAGGTTCAGAGTCCAGGATTTTGTGGTGAGGGGGGTAACGTTAACCACCAGGCAACATAGTCTGAGGAATGTGATGGTTCATACAGCTCTGGATTTTGTAGTGAGGGGTGTATGGTAAACTGCCAATCAATGTATCCTGAAGAATCTGAGGCAGGAAGCTGGCAGAGGGCACCTGCAGTAGACATATGTAAGTTTGTAACTGTTGTCAAAGATGCAAAAGTTAGGAAGAGTGTGGAATTCACAGAAGGGAGGTTGTTTTTAAGGGGATCACATTTTTGAAGGGATCCTGCCTACAAGTTCTACCAGGAAACGAGTTCTCCTTGTCCTCCTGATGTGGGTTCTACCAGGAAATCAAGGAATATGAATGAAAGGTTCCAGCAGGCAACACAATGAAGACTAGCTGCTATGGGAATCAGCTCATAGGTGACCCTCTCACAGATTTGTCAGAGACAGAAAACTTCAAGGGAGGAAAGGGATCATCTTTTTTCCATCAACAGCTGGTGAATTCAAACTGCCTGCCTTTGTGTTGGCAGCACACATCCTCACTAAGCCACAGAGATCATTTTTAAACATCACCAAGCTCAACAAGCACTAAGCCAGTTTACAGTCGTCAAGTAAAAGTTTACTAGTCTCAGCTGTCCTTCTCGTTTACTGAACTCAACACATCCACTTTCCAAGGGCAGGCAGGGATCGCCCCTATTATTGACTGTAACTGGGAAAGGACAAGACAGGTCTGAGGCTATGAATGAAGTTTGAGGTGTTGGTTTATACAGTTGTCTTCTATCAAAACTATGCAACGTGGTAACAGAACTGTGACTAGATTTCAAGCACAATGGATGCTAATTTAAAGGACATCGCACTCAAATACCTATTTCAGAGTAAGACTGTCCTGGAGGCCTAAGGGGACTGCGAGAGAACTTCCTAAGTCACTCATTCTTTTACTGTCAAGCAGGAACTCCCTCGTACAGGTTTCAGAGGCTATAAATCACACAGAGGGCACTGTCCTTTCTCCTACAAAGCAGCTGAGAGATTCAAACCTGCTGTTGTCCTAGCAGGGCAACTCTCTACCCCCTAGGCTACCAGGACTCCCTCTTATGTAGCAATGGGTTCAAGCCTATTAGGGATAGTGACATGGTGCAGGATAAGGATTGCTATGAGCCGTAACAACAACTGTCTAACAGAGAATCGCACATTAGAGACTCACAAATCTGAGCTAATCACTGGGAGAGCTAGTATTTAAGCCTGAAGGTCCCCAGTCATAACAGGCTCTGGGACATTAACTCCGGCCTCATCGACTTAGCAACATATACTGAACGTTTTATAATGTTAGGTGGACACCTGGCTTGGTTTAAAAACATATCATGAATGGATCACTGATGTTATTCTCTACTAGAGAAATAATTAAGACTCTACCGTATGGTAACAGACGTAACAACAATTTTAGGAATTCCTATCGTAGGCGGCTGGCTCATGGTGGCAGTCAGGCAGGGCCAGGGGTGCAGACTTGTACCCAGGGCCACAGAGCCTGGGAAGGAGGCTACTATGCATTGTCCTCAGCCAGAGCTGACTCACAGCTGACCCTCCACTGGTTTCCAGAGCTGTAAACCGCACAGGCAATTGTACTTCTTCCTTCCTCAGAGCCACTGGTGGACTGGAACTGCCAAAGGCACTGCCTTTGGGTTCGCAGAGGACGTCCTGACGGACTAGACCACCAGAGATTCTCCTGGGAAAGGAAGATTTTTATTTTCTCCTAACCCTTCAAGTTCTAGGCGCTTTAGATGTTGAAAGATCCGCATACACTTGCTGTTGAGTGCCTTTGAGTCAAGGAGGACTCACAGCGACCCTATGAACAAGAGACCTGAAGCTTTTCTGCAACTGTTGACACTTATCAAAGTTAATAATTTCCAGAGGCATGTGGTTTAGGACGTGCATGTCACTCCTGACTCAATTATTATATGGTTCATGAAAATTGGCTGTAGGTAACCTTGGACAATGCTTGTAAACAAATAGAATTAAAAGATCTTGGAGAAGAGGATTTATTACTGTGACTTCAGGATAGTAGTTCCATTTTGGGTATAATTATGCAAAATTAAGAATCCAGGAAAGAAATGCCAGAGAAGGCATTTAAAATGAGAATTTACATGAAAGCACTGACTTTGATCTTGAAAGAAACAAATGTTAATGCTGGGGACTGAGCAGTCTGGAGTAGAGAAAACCAACTCACAAACTGGCATGCACAAAGCTAAGACCGAGTACACAAATCATTTTATAAGAAAGTGTGCAGTCAGGCAGAAAATAATAAACTCCCATCATAGCCAAGACTTGATCATAAAATGATTTTAGGAGTTACTCAGCTCTGTGAGGAGGAAATATTTCATACCTAAATTTTCAAAGTCGCTATAGAAAAAGACATGAATGACAAGCATACTTTTTTCCATCTGTGTATGTTAAACCCAGCGGAGGATGTGCAATTACAACGACCTACCTGGATGAACAGTGCTGCCCGCTCAGGCCCACTGCTCTGCAGCAAGGCCCCAATGACGGCAAAGAACGTCTGCTTTAGCACGGCCGTGGGGACAGGAAATTCTGCACTCAGGGTTAACTGCTCCACTGCCAAGTTTCTGGCCACGTGACACACAACGTCCTCACCAGTGAGATAGTCGACAAGGCTTCTGATGCCCTCAGAGGGCAAGTCCGGGTATGCACCTTCAAACAACTGAGTGAGGCATGTTTGAGAAAAAGATGTCCCTTGTTCAGATAGTTCCCGATTATCCTTAAGGCTGAGAAGAACACCTTCTTTGTCTATCCCAAGTTTCTGCCGTTTGGCCTCCTCGCTTTTAATGTAGCAGCTGTTAACAAAGGCAGTTTTAAGAAGATCCAGGGAAAAAGTTTCCTGTAACCGATGTCCAAATGCTTGAATTTCAGCATGATAATCCCAGTTGGGCTTCTCCGAACTAAACAATAATAAAAAAAACAAAACCCAGAAAACAGTAAGCAACCGTAAAAGAATGTACTTCTATGTTTTACCTTTTCCCCCCAATGTTATAGTCTTGTTAAGTGCGCTGAGTAGGACATCATAACAACTCTATGAACAAAAGTCCTGAACCCTGTTTTATAACTATGATCATTTCTCTAAGTTTCTAAGAGTTTCCAGAGGCCTGTTGTTTAGGAAGTGGATGCCACTCCTGCTTCCAAGCTAACAAAGACTGGGGTGCATCTCTTCAGCCATGTGGAAATACAGCAATACGGTGAGAGATCCTTAATCAAATAAAAAGCAAATTGTAGAGCCAACTGCATGTGCAGTCCAATCACATTCGGGGCAAAACCTGCAGCCCTCTCTGCCACCTTTTACAGTACTGATAAAAGATGATCCAAAATCTAAAACTAAGTGGCTTTTATCTTTACTCTGGACACAATGCTGTGGACGGCCTTCTTGGTTTTCCCTCCTATTGGCACCTCGTGTGAGACGATGAGGATGGCACAGAAGAGGACAGGGTTCAGGTCTGTTGTTGATAGGGTCCTTATGAGGTGCTGGACTAGACTTGGGAGAAGGGGTGGCATGCACTTCCGAAATAGCTTGCCTCCAGAAACCCTATGAACATGGACAAAGGACCAAAGTTATACAAGTGTCCAGGTCTTTCGTTCACAGGGTCGCTATGAGTCCTCTACAACTCATCGGCACTTAACAACAACAAATCCTATTCAGGCATTACAAAACGGAGGTCTACAACCACAACAACCCTGCCCTCCAGGCAGCCTCTCATCTCTCACGACTCTGTGCTCAGGATTCTAAAGCTCGAATACTACGACCCACGAGACAAATTCGTGTCCTTCGCCTCGAGTCACGCATCCAGGTTTCCCGATGTCGCTCTCACCGCCCACCCCGCCGCTGGCCAGAGGCCCGGGACGCGGCCCAACGTGCTGCACGGCCGCGCAGGCCCCTCGGAAGGGCAGCTCTCACCGGCGCACAGGCGGCGGCGGGTTCCGGAGCAAGCGCCATCGCTCCAGCTCCTTCTGGAAGCGGTAAGCGGCCCGGAACCCCTTCTTCACGCCCCTCACCGGCGGGGCTGATAAGGGGGCAGCTGGAGCCAGGAGGCAGGGAGGTCCCCGCAGGAGCAGCCTGGCTAACCCAGAGGCCATTGCAAGGATGGAACAGACGGGCGGAAGGAACTGACTCGGACCCGTGTCTCCGTAACACAGGTCCGTGCGGAAGTGGCGGGGAGGTGCGGAAAAAGCATCCGGGCCCGAAGGGCAGCGTGCGGGGGGCGGAGCCACCTCGGAGGGGGCGAGGCTGCTGAGGCTGCGCTCCGTGCGCAGACGCAGTGGCTGTTTTCCCAGGTACAGGCGCTTCTCAGGCGCCACCTAGAGGGCTGAGAGGGGCACGCTTGGGGTCTAGGAATTTTTGGACTCCCCCACCCGCGTATTGTTCTGTTCCTTCCTTTTATACTTGAAGCAAACAAAGCAACACATTCGAATCAAATTGTTATTGAGTGAGAAGCGACTTATGGCTGACCCTCCATGGATTTTCGAAGCTGTAAACTGCACAAGAGGAGACTGCCCATCTTGATCGATGGATCAGCCAGTGCAGTCGAACCTCCAGCTCTGAGCAGTACAACCCCCTACAGACTGGAGGAAGGCGTTTCATGTCAATATGCATTGAATCTTTGCGTTCTATCGAGCCAATTTTTACTGAATAAGTATTTACTAATATTCTGCATTTTTATCCAGGATGTGTCTCTAAAAATGTCCCTTTAAGAACCTATACTTGGACCAAGAGGCAGTCGTCAGAACAGAGCAGGGCAACACTGCCTGGTTCAAAATTGGGAAGGGTGTACGTCAGGGATGTGTCCTATCTCCATACCTTTTCAACCTGTATGCAGAACAGATTATCTATCCAAGAGGCTGGGCTCTATGAGGAGAAGCGTGGCGTCAGGATTGGTGGACGATCCATCAACAATCTGCCTTATGCAGATGACACAACCCTGCCCGCTGAAACTGAGGAGGACCTCATGCATTTACTGCAGAGGGTCAAGGACTGCAGCCTTCAATATGGACTGAGGCTCAATGTCTTCTCACCACTGGACCAATCGGTACCATCAAGATGGATGGTGAAGAGATTGAGATTGTTCACAGCTTCAGTTTACTCCACTCCATGATCAAACACTCTTGACACCAGCAGCCAGGAAATCAAAAAACGTATTGCGATGGGAAAGTCTGCGGTTAGGGACCTCTCTAAAGTACTCAAGAGCAACAGGGTCTCTGGAGATTAAGGGGCCATGGTTTTTGCAATCACTTGTTATGCATCAGAGAGTTGGACAATGACTAGGGAGGATAGAAGGAGAATTGACGCCTTTGAGCTGTGGTGCTGGAGAAGAGTATTGAATGTACCATGGACTGCCAAGAAAACAAACAGATTCATCCTAGAGAGGGTTAAACCAGGCTACTCCTTGGAGACAAGGGATTCTGGGGCTTCCTCTGACATACTTTGGACATGTTGTAAGGAGAGTCAGGTCTTTAGAGAGGGACATCATGCTGGGTAGAGTAGAGGGACAGAGCAGGAGGGGAAGACCCTCTATGAGGTGGATTGATTCAGTGACTGGAGTAATCAGGATGGGTGTGTCAGAGGCAGTGCGATTGGCACAGGATAAAGCAGGGTTTAGGGCTGTTGTACATAGGGTCGCTATGAGTCGCAAACGACTCGATGGCACATAACAACGACAGACTTGGGGAGCTCTGGTGGCCTAGCAGCAAGAGGCTGCACTATAATCTCAGAGATAACACGGTTTGAGTCCACCAGATTCTCTGCCGGGGAAGGAGGGACAATCTCCTCCTGAAGAAGGAGGGGCAATCTCCTCCTGTACCGGTCAGATCCGATTTGACGGTACACACACACACACAAAATAATAATTTTTTTTAAAAAAAGTGAAATAAGAAGTCCTAGACTAAGAAATAATGATTGAACCACAATTTACATTTTTAATTACAAAGAACCCAACAGTACAAACAGAAGGTGACAGCAGGATAAACTTCAGAGATTACAAGATCAAGAAGTTGAGTTAAAAATAGCTTCCATACATAATCTCTGCTTCTTACCTCATTAATAAAAGCCTGTATCTTCTCACGTGGTGGTTGTTGTTAGTTACCTTCAGTTCTGTCTCTCCTCAACCTTATACACAGCAAAACAAACACTGCCCCATCCAGCACCAGCTCATCATCTTTGTATGTCTGAGCCCATTGTTGCACTAGGCAATCCATCCCACAAGGAGTCTTCACTTTTCTTCTCTGACCCTGTATTTCATCAAGCGTACCGTCCTTCTAAAGGGACTGAGCCCCTGATTACATGTCCAAAATATGCACCGACACCCCACCCCTCCCTCCTTCTAAGGAGCATTCCAAGGAGCCCGGATAGCATAGTACAGTATGTGGTGGACAGAAAGGTCAGCGGTTCCAGACCGCTAAACTGCTTTACCTTAGAAAAATAAGTGGTCTCCTCCTATGAAGAGTTCCATGAGGGAAACGTGACATAGTCTGGTGGAAACACGATGAAGGATTGCTACAAGTCAGAACAACTTAGTAAGAGTGAGTGTGGATTTCGGTTTTAGAATCATTCTGACTATACTTTCGAAACAGATGTTTGCTCTTCTCAAAGTCCATGATCTAGTCACTATTCTTCAACACCACCATGATTCTCCTTCAAAACCATTCTCCTTCAGTCATCCTCATTCACTATGCCGCTTTTGAGAGCATAGGTGGTGGTGGTCGCAGTTAGGTGCTATTGAGTCAAGTATAATTTACAGCGACCCTGTGAAGAAGAGATCTGAACCCTGTCCTATTCTGTGCCATCCTTGCAATCTCTGATATACTCAAGCCCATTGCTGCAGTCTCTGTGTCAACCCGCCTGGTTGAGAGGCTTATTTTTCTTTGCCAAAGCTCCACCTTTCCAAGCATATTGTCCTTCTCCAAGAAAGAGCCTCTCCTAGCAACAGGCCCAAAGTACATGAGATGAAGCTGTGCCATCCATGCCTCCAAGGAGCACTCTGGCTGCACCTTCTCCAAGACATAGCTGTTTGTTCTTTCGGCAGTCCATGGGATATTCAGTGCTCTTCTCCAACACCACATTTCAAAGGTATCAGTTCTTCTTCTGTCATCTTTAATCATTAGTCCAGCTCTCAGCCACACAGCAAGTGACTGAAAAGACCATGGCCTGGATCAGGCACACCTTAGTCCTTAAACTAACATCATTGCTCTTCAATAATTTGGGAGATCCCTAGTGCAGACTCTCCTGATGCATTATTTCTCCTGATCTCCTGACTGCTGGTAACAAAGGGCTCGAGTAAATCAGAGACAGGAAGGATTACACACGTCAGGGCACAGATCTGCTGCTCATATGGTTGCCATGGACCATAGTCCACTTGATGGCACCTAACAACATTCTAATCTCTTTTGGGATCTTTGAGATGGAGGCGGGGACGTGACTCTTCTCAGTCAATCGTGCTTCAGAAGGAATGGATCTCAGATCTTGGAGAAAACATTCTGGATTGACAAACATTTTAGAAAGTGTTTCAGTTTTACAACTCATCCTAAAGTGGATTCTGAAAGGTCAAGGGAGAAGGGGAGGGAAGGTCTCTTTCCTTTTTTTCAACAAGGATAAAGAAAAGCTTTTGCTTTCAATTTGTATTTTTCCTTACTGGACATGTGTGCTCATTCCTGTGGTTTGCATGACGTTCAAGTTTTGTCTGTATTAGAGCTGATTATGGAGCATTCTTGTCTGGGTTCAGAGTGCTCTTCTCTGATCTTCTAATGCACATGTAGCTGACAGGAAGGCTGAGTTCTGAGCTCCTGCTGCTTCAGTCTATGCAGCATTTGGCTGCTAGTCCCACCCAGCCTAGCTCACCAAGTCAGGCGATTTCTCGTGATCATAGCAAGTGATTTCATTTCTCGGTTTCATTACTCTAAAGTGGAAAACTACCAATCTCTCATATTTTAATATTGCTATCCATACTACATTCATGGTTCTCACATTCCGTGTCCCAATCACTAGTGTCTGCTTACAACTGTTCCTCTTCCTTTGTATTTCCATACTTGAAAGCTCAACCTCAGTTGCACTTTCTGTTATCTACATGTGTTCTGTTGTACATAGGGTTTTCAAAGGCCTGCTATTTCAGAAGTGGATGGCCAATCCTTCTTCCTAGTCTGTCTTAATGTGAATGTTCAGATTTAGAGAAA